TATATATATATATATATATATATATATATATATATATATATATATATATATATATATATATTAAAAGACATAACTATTTAATAAAACTAACCAGGGGAATAGCTGAAATGATGAGTTTTGTCTTACTGATAGAATTATTTATTATCAGTATACTTTTATGCATAATGGATGACTATTGTATTACTCATAACTTCTATAAAAGTAGAATTGTGTAAAACGTTATAAAAACTTCTATTAATCAAATAAATTTTTTTCAGGATTTCAACTTATTTTGGCATTAACAGTAAACAACATGATGATGATTACAAATATTTTAATAATAGAGATTACATTTTTTATAGAATTAATTTTATTTGGTAGTATTGGAAATTATTTAATATCCCAAATGGAAGAAATAGGGCTTGCTGTATACCAAAACGCCTGGCCAAAACGATTTTCCTGCAAAATTGACGAAACATTTAGTTTTCATTATTATACGCTCAGAATCTCCAGTCACCTTGCAAGCTGGAAATTTTATCGTAGTAAATCTAACAACATGTATGAACATCATAAGAGTATCTCTTTGATATTTATCTGTAATCATCTTTTCATATTCATCATCTTTTCATATTCATCATCTTTTCATATTTATCTGTACTTCGCATATTAATAGAAATGTGAGGTGTAATATACATTAATAAAAAAATAACAATTCCATAAATTATAAATTATGTGATTTAAATGAAGAATAATTTAGATGTATAAAAATTGTGCTCATTAAAATTTGTTATAATAGAATTACAGTTATCTGTCAAATTAATTTTTCATGTTATTATCGATATGCATATATGTATATAATCAATGTGTATATGTTTATTTAAATTTATTATTACATTAATATAAAAATTAAAAAAAAAGATTTTTGCAATACAGAATTACTTACAGTTTTATACGTATATACATATATTCTTGAATTAATGTATGAAACTTGTCAGTCTGTAAAATAAAAGAAAAAAAATCGTTTACGTAGTATGCATTTTAATTTTTGGATAGAATAATTTATATTATAAATTTATATTATAGATTAATTTATATTTAACTGAAACGGTGTTGTGTTAAAGTAAGACACGATCAAGAGTCATATACTAAGCGGAATAATATACTGATAAGCGGTGTTTTATTTGACGATGTATACAATAAAAAGTAGACGATAGAAAAAAATAGTTGCAAATTACTTCGTGTGCATTTGTGGAAATTTTGTCTGAAAATATAATTTTCTACATTTGGTTGTAATACATTATGAATATAGAGGTAGACTGATAAGTAGTTGTCTCAGGCTGAATAAAAAATGAATCGGAATAGAAGCATTTTGCTTATGTACCAAGTGTATTATCAGTTATTGGCATCAGTTACAACCATTACCTCGACTCGATGGCGAGCGAAAGATGGAAGAACGATGTTTCATATGCGATGACCCCCTTCAAATTACTAACATGGCCTATCGGTGTTTGGCCACTTCAAGTTTATAACATCTTTTCACTGTCACGATGTATTTTCGCTACCTGTTGCGTGGTATGCGTCTTTTTTCATGTTAGTGAATTTTATCGTGTGATAGTCTAAGGACATACATAGTCCTTAGACATAGAATACGTCTCATATGTCATATTTCTCGGAACAAAACTTCGCAATGGCAATACCAAGTACTTGAACTTGTGCGTTAAACATTAAATTATTGACAACATAAATTGTGAAACATTTTTTTGTAAGGAGAATAATACATCAAGTGAACATAAATGAGCACAACCGTAAGCCTTTGGAAATTTTAGTTAATAGAATCATTTCTTTTTGAAATCTGTTTGAAATTATTCATACTTATACATAGTATTCCTTATTTTGAAATATGTACTACACGATTTGTTTGTGAAAAATGAATTGTAAGTGAATGATACAAAAAAAAAATTAATACCGCTGATATCAAATTTCATTGTGCTTTATATTTGAGTGCGGAAATATAATATATAGTAATATACATAATTATAATTTTTTATTATTTTGGTAATTTTTTTTCTTATTTTAAAAGATATTCAGACAACACAGACATTTAAATCTTTAA